CCCAGGTAATTTGTTTGTAAAATTGAATTTTCATCGGGATCTCAATGGTACTTGTGAAAATCTGGTCGGGACCAAATGTGTCAAACAGGGACTTATCCCGAAAAAAAGGACGAGTTGGTCACTCTATGTATGCGTGCATATCATTGATCTCCACTTTTAAATTGACAGCCGGATAATAATGCAAATATGTGCTGCACATGATCTCGGGTGTCACTGGCAATTCTACAATAGCAAGGTCAATTTTCAAAATATTAACATGATAAATAATAGTCTTAATGTAAGAGTTACTGGTAGTATCGTAACGGCACGTGTGAATGAGTGCATCGCCTGGCAGTACATGAATCCGGCGCTTTAAGTGCATAATATACTGGTATTGAAAATGGCAATGCTCATCCCGATTGACCATGCTCAGTTCACGGCCATGGCGTACGTGTTGAGTCCAACCACGGGTGCGGCGTTGGTGTGTATGAAACTGTTGGGCAAATATAGTGATGCCATGGGGTGGCAGCGCCCGAGACGAGCACTCGGAGGTCATGTACGCGAACAGATCTACTGCCGACCGATTGACCGGGAGGTCAGCGAATTGAGCCCAAACATCCATCCCTTATTTATTAGCACAATGTAAATTAAATTATATAATGTACAAATACAAGCAAGTTTGTTTACTACCGATTTTTATCAGCCCAGCGTCGTATTGCCGTAGTTTACTGACCACATGTATGCGCAGACCTGAACTGTCCCGTAGGCCCGGTGTTAGCGCCTGATTGATGTAATGTGTCTGTAATAGTATGTATTGGGCGCCACTGCGGCCACCAATGGCTACCCCGGTCTCATCGGGGTATGAGAAGGCCTAAATGATTATTTGATAGTGTACCGGATTGAGCATGATGAATAATTGTGAATTTAGCATATCATATCAAATTAATAAACACCTACTTTAGACCCTTTAGCAATAGCGCTAATTTGATTCCATAATTGCAACCTCGAGTCATTGCAATCAACGGCCAGATATGGCTGGTTATCAAATGGCGGGTCTTTTAATACGATTAGTTTCATGTGATGTACCTATGAGTCAAATATTTGCGTTTAAGTAAATGTAATGCATAAACAAAATGAGTTATAATTAATTTTAAAAATACAATCATAATAATTAACAAAACAAAACTAACCAATTGATTATTTTCGGCCTGAATAATGGGCTCATATTTAACAATATGGTGTTTTTGGTGAAATACTTGAGGCAATCGGTGTGCAGTGCATTGCAATGAGCTGTTTAGCACAGGAACCGGTGTCTTATCGTTGAGAAAATTATATGTTTTGGCAGTTTTCATGTCAGGCGAGATGTGCTCCGGGATGTCCGTCAAACTTATTTGCTTAATGTTGTATTTAATAACTTTAAAATCAATCTTATCTATGAGAAGACCGCTGCCCGTCGACCACACAATGTTTGTAGTGCCATCCTGGTCATTTCAACCATTATTAATATAGTGACATGCATACAATATAAATTCAATTAACATGTGGCTTTTATAATTGAGTTTTATAGCTACAGTATTACCTCAATTGTGTAGTCCATTGGATCGCATGTATTGAACGCGCGTTTAAACGCAAAACTCAAACCATTTGTTTGTTTTGTAGCGTTTATGAGATGAAAGTCATTACTGGTGTCCACTAAACCGATGCCATCGCTGTCCACATGTATGTCCTTATGATTACACATCAATTATTTTTGTAAATATTTGTTTTAATTATTTCAAAACAAATTAAAACACATGTATTTTACCAGTAGTTTATAATGAGATGTGGTGTCCGTCCAAAGGATACACATATCGGAGCCGCCGATGAGTCCGTCGGGAGAGAAACCGACGGCAAACCAGTCGTTGTTTGTGTCACTCATTGTCTGCACTCTAATAGTGACCGACTTTTGGTCATAAGTCCAGAACATGTGATACTTGTGCTGATCATCGAGTGATTCACTAAACGTGTAGTTATTATTAACTTTTCCATAATTATTGTCCGACAAGACATCAATTGTATTGATGTTTACACTAATAATTAATAAAACAAAATATTTAGTTTTATTCATGGCTTTAATGATTAATATTTTTAAATAGTTATTTAATAATAATAATAATTTATAGACAAATGTAAAAAAATATTTTATAATTATTACAAAACCCAGATTAAATTATTATAATTATTAATCAGTATATTATACTGTTTACTTTTATTTTGTGTTTGAAGCATTTTAATAAATTAAATTAAATGTAATTTAAAATTATGAAAAAGTAATATAATTTTGTTATTCGTTGTAAATTCTATTTTCAATACAGATGTTTAACGAGTTAACAAATTAATATAATAATTACGTGATAATCATGTAAAGACTTTAGTAAAAATTATAATGTATAGTAGTTTGTATAAGAATTTATAAGTGTAATACAAAATAATTGCATTACATATGAACTGGTATATGCTATAACATGCTTAGAAGTTTATGCATGTATTGCACTTATTGGTGAATTCATTGTGTTAAATGCATTGATATCTTAAAATCAAGTAATTTGTAATTTATATTAAATAAATAAATGTTCAATTATTAAATAAATATCAATTAAAACCTATTATAAAGTCAAATTACTATGAATTCAATTCAATAAGTACAATACATGCATAATCTTCAAAGCATGTTATAGCATATACCAGTTCATATACTATAAATTACACAAATTTATTACAGCAGATATATTTAATTAATAAATAAAAAACAAAATTATAATAATTTAAAAATAAAAATTTAATTTTTATTATTTTATTATCAATAATAATTAATTAATAAGAATTATTTTAAAAACATATTTACGTTATTCAATTATTAGCGCCATTATGGCATATAAATTGTATGCAAACATATCTATAGTGTTTTATTTATTTATCAATTGTCATGAAATAGTGGGCACAAATGGCCAACGAGTTAATCGTTCAAATAAACTCTCAAATCTGTACAAAAGCTTAGACAACGAGGACTTGTAAGTGATTTGTATAGTACATGTCATACATAAGTTATACATGTATTGTTTTTAAAATTAATACTAACTGTTATAGATTATGACCTAAAATGTTGTCGTACTGTATATTGTAGTCTAAGAATGCAAGCACTGGTGAGAGAGCACCAGCCCTTAGATTTTGGCCCGTCGTGGCCTGACTTTAATCCCACCGCAAGTGTATTACAAGCGATACAGAGTGTCGGCCGGAATGAGCACTTGGATGGCGCGCATACAATGACAGGTGACTGTCGGGGCGAACCCCGACTCCGGGCGGCTTTGAGCCAACTTTTTTCGCCTTTAATGAGACGGACGATAGACGCGGACAACGAGATTGTGGTGACGAGCGGTGCGCTACAGGCCTTGTATTTGGCGGCCAAAAGTTTCCTAAAGCCCGGCGACGAAGTGATACTTTTTGAGCCATTTTACCACGAGTTTTATGCGGCGCTTCATGTAATTCAAGCCTCGCCTGTGGCCGTACCTCTTAGCACAAGCGATGGCCAAACGGCCCAACAATCAAATGATTTAACGTACGATAGGCAGCAATTGGTGGCCGCCTTTACTAATAGAACCAAAATGTTTTACATTAATAATCCTAATAATCCTACCGGAAAGGTATTGTACAGTACATATACTATACGTTAGTTTGCTTTCAATGTATTTTTACAGACTTTCACTGAAGAGGAGCTGCTATTTATCGGACAGTTGTGCGAAAAACACGACGTGATTATACTGGCGGACGACGCCTACCAGTTTCACAACTACGGCGTTCAGCCGCACATTAGAATCGGTGACCATAATTATGATATTTACCATAATGTTAATTATTATTACATTAAAGTATTACTTAACAAATAATAAATAATACAACAGATATTAGCTGTTTGAATAAATAAGTATCTGAAAAATTATTTACATTATTTAAATGACAGCAACTTTGCCGGGAATGTGGAAACGGACGCTAACTGTGAGCTCAGGCGGGAAAGCGTTTTACCTAAACAGTTGGCGCTTGGGTTGGCTCATCGGACCCGAAGAGCTGCTGCGGTCTATACGCGTACGACTGTATCACTCGATCCAATCGGTGCCGCGCGTCGGCCAACAGGTGCTGAGGGCTATCATTGAGACGGAAAACCAAAGGCTAAACACCAATGACTCGTATTTCAGTCGGTGTCCAAAGCAAGTGCTGGACAAAAGGGACCGCTTTATAGCGGCCTTTGACGGTACGGGCGTTGATGTAATCAAACCAAACGCCGGTTACGTATTGATCGCTAACTTTTCAAACGTAATTAATAAAATTGATTTGTCGTCAGAAAAGGATACGAAACAAGGATTGCGTTTAACTTATTATTTCATTAAACAAATGGTTTGTTATGAAAAAATTTAATTTGAAATGTATTATTGTAATTTATAACTTATACCGTATTGTTTTTGTTATGTACAGAAACTATGGATCAATCCGGGACTAAACTATTACAGCAAACAACACAAACATTTGGCTGAATATGTGTTGAGGTTTTGCTTTTTAAAAACTAATGATTCGCTCCACAAGTTTGAAGCAATTATTAAATCATTATTTAAATAACGTATTGTAGGGGTAAATATGGTTTGATATACATAACATTTTTACATTGCTGAATTAATTAAATATTTTCATTATAATTAAATTACAATATTTGCATTATTATTAGTTATTTTGATAATGTTTAGTGATTTTTAAAAACATAGACAATAGAAATGCGATTATCTATTAAACAAAATAAGTACATTAAATATAATTAAGTTTATAACGTTTATGCAAAAAGTGCATTTACCTCATAAACACGTATTTTATTTATTACAAATAATTTCCAACATGAAAAGCCCATTTCATTTTTACCAAGGTGTTCTATTAAGGACATTAACTGCCGACAAAAATTAAATAAATAAATATTAATTAAATTATCAAAAATATTATTTTTATAAAATGTTTACCGTCCTGATAATATAATTAAATAAATAATTTACGTACATTGTCTAGTAATTTTAAAAATATTAATAAATAATAATTTATAATCTAACACAAGAAAACACGATGGCAAACTTTAATTGTCTTTAAATGAAAACAAACTGAGGATGTTATTATAATGATCAATAGATTATTCAATAACAAAAAATGTAAAAATTATTATTCTAAGTCAAAACATATTGTAACTGGATCATATTATAGTTTAAAAATTCAAAGTCAATTTCCGAGAAAACTAAACATGTTATTTTAAAAATTCCAACGGATTCATGATTTGAATGTGAAGTAGTATAAATATTAAAAGGATGCTTACATTAAAAATTGATTTTAGTTATTCAAAATAACGATTAAATTACAAAATGCTCGACAGATTCTTTCACCGGAATAATACCACTATCAATATATATATTATTTGAAAGATCTATTCAAACTTTACAATACTATGCAAAGAAACTTGTGGTATTTTTCTGGTGGAATGATCAGGAGCATTTTGTAATTTATGGTAACTAAAATTAATTTTAAATGAAATCATTTTTATAATATGTATGCTACTTTACTTTCACTTCATGGATCCGTTGGAATCTTTTAAATATCTTGTTTAGTTTTTTAGCAAATTGATTTTGTATTTTGAAAAATCTCCGAAAATATCTAAAAAATTCTTGACTTAAAATAATAATTTTTGTATATTTATTCTTCTTTATTAATGTTGTAATCACGAATAAATTTTTATAAAAATTTGACAATTTTTGTTAAACCTTTGCCAAAGTGTTTAATTTGTAACCTAGTGTATTATATTGATGGCATGCTGGTCTGCATAATTAATTAATGAAATTACTAAAAAAATTATTAATTAAAAATAATTTATAAAAATAATATATAAAAATTATCAAAATATTTCTATATGATACTTATTTGAACATTATATAATATTATTATAATATAACCACCTTGATCATATGGCAGACATATCGGGCACCATTACGGGCGGCAAATGAATTCAATAACTTATACGACTCGTGCGATTCACTGTTAACGGATGCGGCGGTCAATAAGACAAACAATACAATCGATGCCATAATTATAACGCAATAAATGTAAATCAATTTGACCACAATATTCATCGGGATAAATATGACGGCAAATGAATACATGACCAGTGCTGACGAGAACGACAACCAAAACACCAGCAAATACTTTGACCAATACGTGCGGTTATAGTCGGCTATTTCGGAGCACAACCGGTTAAATCTGGTAATTAACGTCAGTGTTTGCCAACTATTACCAGCTTTAGTACTGGTGCTATTGGCCCGCAATCCTATGCAAATGTTATCAGATTTAAGCTTTAAATACCGGCAAAGTATATACAGGTATAGCGTTTGAAAGCCCAGAATATTCCACAAATAGTTACACCAAAACGAGAAGAATATACCGTTCGGTACGCCATATATGAGTGTCGTTTGTAACGGGGTTTGAACGTAGTATATAATCACCAGCTGCTGGCCGGCGGCAAACCAAAAAATTAGCCTGGCATTCCAATAGGCCATCTGACAAGCTCGCTTAGTTAACCTAGCTAGTTTGACAACTTGATCTAGTTGAGCTAAACCAATCGATGCCGGTGTTATCTCACCGGCAATCATACGGAATACGCGCATAAATGTAGGCATAACTCCACGCTTGTAGTTGTATTGGTAGATGAGCTGGGTCGCCTGATAAAATGGTGTCATTAAGAGCAAGGTGGTGTTCATGACGACGCGATTATTAAGCAAGTATGGAAAATCGCCCAGGGTCAAATGAAGTGTTTCATTCCCATCGCCCGCATACAAACAGATGATGGTCTTTATGGTGAATAATGCGAGATATATGTGCATAAATATGGGTGTATTGTACCATGGTCGGTTAACATTGCCATAATATACTGGATTAACCTCTAGGCCGGAACTGTATAAATGTCTTGTAGCAGGTTTATACGCCAATTGATCAGGCAGTGGTTTATTTGGATCTAGGTAATCCGTCATTTTTGCCATGTTTATAAGACTTATTTTATAAAATTATTAAATATAATATTATATTATTATATGATACGTCTGTATATAATATTATCTTATATTGAATGCATCAAGTGTATAAAAAAGCAATAAATTTTAATTTAATTAATACAAAAACATATTATTTTAATATTTACTGTGTAATTGTCACTATTAAATATTGAAATAATATGTTTTTGTATTTATTAATTGAATTTTAACATGAACTAAAATACTAGACAGACGTATCATATAATGATATAATATATTTTATAATAATCTATGTAATAAAATTGGAACTTGAAATGTATATAAAAAATTTTATGATTATGTTTACAATAATTATGCCATTGTTGCATCTTTAATAATGACAAAATATTGTTTAAAAATACTTAAAAACATTTTATTATATAATTATTATTAATATTATGCTATTTCCAATAGAATTATTATACATTTATTATGATAATTAATTGTATAATACACATAATAAGTGATATAATTGTTTTTTGAAGCTTAAAAAAATATCATAATCATAATTGGCAAAATGTAATAAAACTTTAAATTGCCATTTGGATCAATATATTTAATGAAATAGTTGTCAGTTGCTTAATATACACTTAATAAAAAATTAAGTGCATTTAGAAGTAAGTAATTTGTTTACAACTGTTGGGCGGAAATCTACATAATGGTCACAAAAAAATATATAGATGTGCTGTCAGAGTTGGGCGCATACATGGCCGCCGAATTGTTGAATGAAATACTGGAAGCTATTAACTTTTTACACGCACTCAATCCCTGCCAATATTGCACCATTTTCATAATAACAATACTAGTAAATTATTAATAAGTTTACTTAATTAAAAATACATGTAAAGTAAAAATGTAAATAATAATGGTTTATTGAATACTTTTTATATGAAAAATATAAATATAAAAATATTGCTTAACAAAATTCTTGTTGAGTTAAATTAAAAATAAATTAAATTTTAGTTTAAATTTTATTGTTTAAAATTAAATATTTAACTAATTATAAATTAATAATTGCAAATAACAAAAATAGTACATAATATGTATTAATGTGTTATAATATGTAAAATATGTAAATACATTATATTTTAATTAACCATTCGAATAGACTAACCAATCATCGCACCGAACGTGCCGATGAAGGCGTGGCCCACATCAAAAACTGGTCTTGGTATAAATTTTGTGAAGATCCTAGGTGTCTTATCCACATTGACCAGTGCTCTGTACGCCATCACATGGATCGATTTAAATGTGATAATTAAATTGGCGTTGCCTGTTTCGGGCCAAGGGCACGTGGTATTTCCCGCAAATGGCAATGTGAACGCCCATAGGCCATTCACTGCCGCTATAAACTTTACGTCATAATCGGGTTTATCTCTCGGAAATAGTAGTCTAGTCTCTGTTAACCATTTATGGAGAAAGCTGTAAAATAATTAATTTATATTAGATTACTTATTATATGAACTATTAATATAATAATTAATAACATACATTGTATCATACCATACGCAATGTTTATAATGAATCTTAAATACAGTGGACTAATTGGTCTAAAATGTAAGTTTGAATTTTATGTAACATAGATGAAGAGAGGTGAATTCGGTAAATCATTGCATTTTTTAACGAATAGCTCTGTATTTTGTATCATGGAAATTTAATACAAATTATTACAGTGCATTGCATGAGACAATTTTTAACAAAACAGTCTCTTAATCACTAATTACATAACAATATGTTTCTTATACACACGTATACCTTAACTACAATTCGGGCAATGCATCAAAGCATTCAAAATTTACAATATTATTTTTATGATACTTTAAATATTTAAATAGTAAAATAAAGTGCTAGCACACAAAACACACACCACAACACTTGGCCCACAGTAGAGGAGGTTCCGGGTTGGGCGGCCTCGGTTAGTACCCTGGTCAAACGCTGCCGTATCGGCACCATGAGTGAGGTCTTATTGTTTTGTTGCTTAATAAAGTCCATGAGCTGATTGACGCCGTTGTCGGCGCCAGTGTTCAATATTTCGCACCATAAGTTCAACACTGGAAACAACGAGTTCATTGACTCCATTAAACCCGTGGCCATAAAGCTCGAGCCGTAGTGCTTGTAAAAATAGTCACGTAACTTTTTAACAAACGGTGTTTTGCTTCTGGTGGGGTTAAAACAATAGGGTACAAGTTTGTTCAAGGTTGGATTTTAATTGTATGTGTGTTTTAATAATGCTAAATTATAATTACGGTTACATTGGACAGAATCTATCCATTGCTGATTTTTTATCGGTAATAGCGGGAAGGTCGGCGTCGCCAAAATTATAGCCTACCCATAAATGCTCGTCGTATTGCTTCTCGGTCCATTCCGCACTATTTAATATATCTGCATCTAGGTACAAAATTTTAACTATGTTAAACATTGTATAAAATATGTGTTTCTATAATATTTTCTATTGATTACAAACTCCATTTTAATGCTGACTTATTTACATTATTTAAGATTAATTGGCAATTATGTGATTAATAAAGTAATTAAAATAATGGTAGTAATAATACTTACGAGATATTACGAGTAAAATAATTATTTCAATCATATTTATATAATAAGCAATGATGTTCACAAAACAACACTATTAATACAACAATTTTAAATAAATAAAAT